GAAAATACCAAATGCTCAGCACAATGCCTGATGCTTAATATGCAGTCTGAAAATATTGTGCACGTGCACATGTGTGTGTGTGTGTTTTGAGGATAGATGGGTGTAGATGAGGGAACAGAAGGCAGTACCCATGAAACACATTGTTATCTATTGCTCTGCTACCACTGATTCACCTCTGGCCCCCTGTCCACTTACTTCTCTGGTCAGTAAACAGAGAGAAGAGAGTGAGAGAGCTACTGGCTGTTTGCAGTTTATAGTATTCTAAAGGGGCTGGAAATCACGTCTTCAGACTCCCAAGTCCAAAACCTCCAAGTCAGAAGTTGTTAGGGGGAATGAATGCTTGCTGAGCACTTACTGTGTGTGTCAGACACCACACGAGTTCTGACACGTATAATTTAGTCCTCACAGTGGTCCTGTGGGGCAGATGTTTTTATCCCGACCATCCATATGAAGAAACTGAGGCCAAAGAGAATAAATTATTTGTTCGAGTGGTCACTGTTTCTAGGAGATAGGTGTAGAGTTCAACCTTTCTGACTCCAAAGCCTTGCTCGTCTTTTTACTATATTGTGAAGTTTGCAAAGGGAATTTCTTACTCCTTAAATTACTAAAGGCTGGGCTGTCAACTATCCAGGAATTTCAAAGCCATCCAGACTTACCTGTGACCCAAGGGCAGGGCATGGTTAGGTTTAACCTCACTGATACCCCTTCCCCCATAGTGGGTTTGTCCTCGTTCACTGAGAAAGTCATCTCTTACCTTCTTTTAAAGAGAAATAGTTAAAGATGATAAAGACAGATTTTGTTCAGCACTATCACAATATGGGAGAGAGACCAGTATAAAACTGAGCTCAATTCTGAATATGACAAAAAAGACAGCTGGGGATTTCTAGCCAAGAAGCAGAGTGAGGGGATTCAGTGGATGGAAAATTACTAAGAGGAGACATCAAGGGAGGAGATTCTTGTTAAACAAACTTAACAGACAGGATTCTTCTTAAAAACTGGGCTAGACAGGCCAAGGATGGGGCCCAAAGGCAAGGCCTAGTCTACAAGAGTGCTCAGAGGAGCCTGTCTAAGGTTTGGTCAAGGAGAGAGTCTTTGTCACTTGCCAGCAAAAGCCAGGACGAGGCATGCTGAAGACCCACAGTGATAGTTCACTGACCTTGGGGTAAGTTGTCTCACCTTTGGTGTGACTTCCAAGAGTCAAAAGAATTTGGCTGGAATTGAAAACTAGTTATGAGAAAGAATGTGTATCTAAGATGCACAGTAACTCTTATTTGATAAAGCAAATAGCATTTTTATTATTTCCTCACAACATCGTCTAGAAGTAGAATGGCTTTTAGTCCTAAGCACAAAGTCAAGGAAGAGATGGCCTGGTCATTCAGAGGCAAAAGCAAGGCAGGGCCTGCCCTCCCTCTCCCAGTGTGGCTTATTTGTCACATGGGCACCTAAGCCCCCAACCACTGGCCAGCAGCTCCCCGGGCTTAGGAAAGGATGGGACTCTTATATTACTTGTGACTGAGTTCGAGTTAGCAGATGAACAAACAACTTTCCCCTGAGTTCATCTAGAAATGCAGGGCGTAGGGCAGGGAGCATTCATTCTCTTTCTGCCTCATTCCCATATCCTCACCTCACTCCACTGGCCCCAGAATCCTGCTTCCCCAGAATATCCTCCTGCATTAACTAGTCTGACCTGTTTCTGACTGCCAGCTGGCCAGCCATGGAAACAGGAGAGACCTTGATGGCAGAGGGATAAACCTGCAGAAGTCCCTATAAACATAACATGAGCAGAGGTTTAATGTCTATGCAGAATCCCAAAGGCACAGATCCCCAGCTGAGGCCTCTGCCCCCAGGACTCCTAAAGTCTCTGCCAAAAAGTGCCCACAGGAGAAAATGTAGGCGGAATGCAAAAACGCTGGCTTGTGAGACAGAAAGGCTCTCTGTTCTGATCCTGGCTGTTCTGATTCTGGCTTCAAAACAACTAACTCTGTGACTTTAAACTCTGAGCTTCTCTTTCCCCATCTGTTAAATGGGGGTAATCAGATCTGGCCTGTCTCTCATGGACTCTTGTAAGGCTGAAGTCATCCCTGTGAGGTGCTTAGTAAACACTAAAGGGCCACACAAAGCTGTGTAAGAAAAGCACTACCCACCCCCCATCCTAATCCTCTCCCAGAGTTAATTGCTTAACACTCAAGCGAAACGTTGATGTCCACCTTCTGTGTCCCATATTTGTGGGTTGTGCTCTTTTCCTTTGTGTTTGGTTGGCTGTCTGTGTCTCTCCTGGTGCTCACATTCGGGTTCCTATGACACTTTTGCTTTTGACCAGCTATTGGCTCCCAGGGATCAGAGATGGCAGTCTGACTCCTGTGTGCAGAGCCATGGGAGCATCTTGATGGTGCTGTTGGAGGGAAAGCAGCAGCTCGGTGGAAACCCATATGAACACTTGGGTTCCAGTCTTACTGAGACTTATCACTATTGGCTAAGTGTGCCTACATAAGGCATTTGATCAGCCAGATCTGAAATGCGGACTAGGTGATCTCGAAAGCCCCTTCCAGCTCTGGATGGTCTATGGTTCTAGTTTATGGCTAACAGTGGTTTGGTTCTGCATATTCACAGTCTCACAGCCCAA